CAGCCATGAGTACTGAGCGACGTAGCTATAGGTAAGTACTGTTGACAAGGACAATAAGCTGGTGTCCAAATTCTCGTACACGGTTGAAAATCCTCTGAAAACGCTGTGCTTGGTTCGCTCCGGATCATATTTCGCAGTGAAAGTAGATGGATACATAATATAATACACGTGATTACATGTAATGCAAACAATTCTTATTAAAAGAAAAGAAAAACAATAATAGAATTCATAATATTACAGTAGCAAGCAAAACCTCCGTATACAGTACAACGCAGCCACAACAGAAAGAAAAACCCGTTACCAATCACAACATCATGTGAACTGCACGCAGGCGGGTTTGAACCCTACCCGATCGCGAGGAGGGTCAAGCAAGCCAGATTTCAGGACCCACAAACTTGATTCTTCAAAGTCAAACAATTTGTTCGTTGTACAACACATAGGCTTTCTAAACGAATATAACACACAAGCAGTGTTGTATTCATTTACAGCACATATGCCTTATATGCGGGGTAAGACGGTAGCATTGGTTGTGATACGTGTAGGGCACTGCGTGAACCCACCGTATGCACCGGTTTATCTCTCTGATGAATACTCTCAGCTGAGTCCTACCTTTCAAGCTACTACTACTGTTGTATACGCTTAAATAAGGCATCACCTCCAGTAGTACTACGTAGTACTACAGTAGTAGTACTTGTACGTAGCTCTACAGTATTTCTTCTTTTTGCTTACATAGTACCAAGTTTGATGCGAGGAGTATTGTACAGATACATCTCTTTCTTGGTAACGTTTTATAAACAGTTTCTCTCAGTTTATTTTTTCAAATTCGGGGGATCTCTCCTTTACCGGGCTATCTGTTCGACTTGTTTCCCGGACTGCATGAAGCTATAAGACCACTTTTAATACTAAACTATCAGCTCAGATATATATGATCCTCGTTTCCCCAACGCTGCAGATCTTTGAGTCATGTTGTCGATGCCACTCGTTGGCCATTTCTCTGCATGCCATCGTAAAATCCAGCGTATTGCTTAAATCTGCGGTACGCTTGACTTTTCCAGATATAGTCCGACGGAAACTGATGCTGGTGCACCATGGTCACCCACTGGGAAAGGGACATTTCAACAGATTCGTCTTTGTGCCTTATGACGTCGAAGAGACGGTGGGGTTGCACTCCTGCCGCATATAACTCTGCGTCAGTTGCGTCCATCTTGATCAAGTTTGCAATTTGATTCTTCATTTTCCGCTCCCTCAAGGGATGCATGGCTGCGTTGGTAAGCACTGTTAAGTATCCTCGGTCTTCGTGCGCGGGGTTTCCATCATCTTCAGGAGTATCTTGACTTCTTAGGAACCGTTCTGATGAAATGTCATCAGCTGGACGAGGGACATCAGTGGACAGCTGCTTATGTTTACTTGAGGCGTCCACCACTCCATCGGTTGTAGCGAGGAGGGCTACCGCGCAACCCACAATCAAATAGCCAAGGCGCATACTGGTTTAATGAAATGGAGAGAACTGTCTACTGCGGAGTAAATGGATTTGTGAGTTTGACCGCGCAAGGCTACTTCTGCCCGGGGAAAATACATGGCCTCACGTGACTCTGTGTCGACTACAATGTACTGTACATGACCATCAAATTGGCACACGAACCTTTTGTACCACAAACTGAAACCAGGTCCACTTTTCCAAAACCGTACAATTTAAAATGCTTGCAAAAACTTCGTTAGGGATCGGAGAACGGTACCCCAGATTTTCTGTTTTTGCACAATTCGCCCAACTTTTGTCGATGTTCGTGCACCAACGAAAAGCGAGGGTTCCGAAATCCCAGCTGATAAGAATGCTCAGAGCTGACGGACTTTCATTTACTGTACATGTACAAGTATATCCCATGATGGAGGGAATAATCTACATGTTTGATGCGGAAAAGACACAGTCTCCTGTACCGTACCGGTATACGTACCGGCTTTTGCTTCTACGAAGCAGAACCGGAATCTGAACCCAGCATCATGAGAAAATAATTGCCGCACATACATGTACAGTTTTCCCACACTGATCGCGCTCCGTATTTCCCCAAACGACAAGTTACAGAAAGATAGAACACCCATGGAAACTAATAAATCTGCTACTTCATTAAATTCTTTATAAAAAGAAACTTTTGCATTACGGTAAGCGTATCTAGCCTCATACACATAGAATAGTTTTTTTTTCTTCAAAAACTAGAACAAATTGTTACTGCAACACCTGAACCAGAAAGATCAACCGAATTCATCAGGCCCATCGTTCAAAACGGAAAGACAATCGCCGCAACGAAGTCTACACCTATGACCGCCATTGAATGGGTCCGTTCTATTTGTATTGGAGTGTTTCGACCTATTTTAGTGCTGTTAAACCGGGGATATTTCGATAAATACGATGGATACATAAATGTTATACGGTGTAGCTCAGGACGATAAGCACAATGACGGCGCTGACTTGTACGAGTCTCGGCAAGCCTATAAAAGCACGGCTATCAACTCGCATTGGCGTGTCTGCTAGGTTATAGTCCGCAGCAGTAGCGCAGCGATGCAGCTGAGTCACTCGCGGCCGAACCCATTTCAGCCTGAAATTCAGATCCTACGATCACCGACAAACAAATAAGAGCAAGCAAATTTAAACCCCTAACCCTTTTTTAAATCTTAGCCTTACAATCCATAATAGCTAAATCCGAGTGCTAAATCAGAGTCTCACAATAATAGGCTTCGACCCAATAAATAATATTAGTGATAGCCGCTTCAGGTTTAAAACAAAAGTCCGGTGTCGAAGGAAACGAGATACCGGTTTTACCGCACAAAGCTAACTTACTACTCTTTTTGGTAAACAGGTTGGCAGATCTCCAACCTAATTGTAGTGGCGTGACATCTGCAGCCGTTCTCGCAGACTCTCCAGTTGTTCACTTGTGGTTGACGGACGCGAAGCATTCGTCGCAGCTCCACGGTTGGCACTAAACGCATGGAACGAAGTAAAGCTGCGACCTCGGGGCTCCGCAGACAACATAGTTTCAGCAAGTGACGGAGCCGCTGACGCATTCCTCGATGTGCGCGTGGCGATGCCGCTATCTCGCGGTGGGAACAGGCGTCGCGTGAGACTCTCCTCGGGCACAGTAGCCACGCTATTCGCTGCACTACTGGCACCAAAATGCGTCGTGATACGCGGTGGAGCAGCAGACGCGACACTGTTGC